GTGTCCTTCCTGGTACCCGTGTCGCCTCCCGCCTCTGCCATCCTATTGTCACCTGCCCTCCTTGGGTCCTCCTCACCTCCCAACAGGGGCTCAGAGCCATCAGCAATTGTGTTTTCTATAGAACAGAGCTCAAACCCACCTTAGCGTGGCCGTTGTGATCGGGCACCACTGTCCCCTCTACCCGCACAGCGCCAGCCGCCCACTCGATACCCACTGCCTCCTTCCTTCATAACGGAGCCCCAGGTTTTAGCTGCTCCTCCTGACAAAGACATGTTTCAGATTCCCTTGCAGCGTGTTATGACCACATGACAAGTTCTGGCTAATGAGATGTAGGTATTTATAAATCAGCTTAGTAGAGAACAGGCTTAGCTGAAAGGAATGCCCCTGTTGCCCAGAATTTTGTTGTACTGGCTGGAGCTCCAGCAGCCTTTTTGGACGTCACAGCTCCCACCCCCATGCCACTCTGGCTTTCCCAGCTCCGTGTGGGCCTCCTGTCTCACTTACCTATCAACCAGGGTGTTCGTGAAGTGGCTGAGGGACAGGGATTGTCCAGACAGGGCGGGCAGGGAGGAAGTGCCATCGTGACCCTCCTGGGCCTCCCTCCTCCGACCCCAAGGCCGGGATGGGGCAGCTACTGCTGCAGAGGACGCAGGAGACCCCAGGATGTTAGGGTGCTCCTGGAGCAGGTGGACTTGGTGAGCCACAGCAAGCGCCCTCCGGGGATGCCTCCCTCCCGGGTCAGTCCCGCTCCTCTCCCCCAGGGGGCGGTGCTGGGCAGGCCCTCCTGGGGTCCGCAGTCGTCAGCGTGGGAATTTGGGCAGTGCGGAGCGTGCAACGTGCCACCCGCCCGACCCAGGTGGAGGACCGCGGTGGAGGACGTCCCCAGCACCCACAGGCGTCCCTGGGCGCCTCCCAGGCACTACGCCCGGGAGCGCCGACCCGACACTTTACTTATTTGTCCATGTTGGCGGTGCCCAATGACTGCACTCATCGCGGGGACCTGGCCCCTGCCCGTGTCACGTCCTGATTCCTGTCTCATCCCCTCCCCTCGCCTCCTCCCTCCACCTCTTAGCCCCCTCCCACCTGTAAAAGACCTATCACCCTCGTTTATTTCACGCTGTGTTTTTACATTGGGTTTCTCACGTGAGAGAAGCAACGTTTAAGCTCGTGTGCCTGACTTAGTTCACTCCGCATTGTGGTCTCCAGTTGCATCCATTTTACAAATGACTCAGATTCATCCTTTTCATGGCAGAGTTCTGCTCCCTTGTGTGTAACGGCCACTCAGTGCTCGTGGCTGGGTACCACAGGAGTGGGCGCCTGGGGGCTGCGTTCTGGATCTGTGACGCGTCACAGACAGGCACGCTGTTGCGGGCAACATTGCAGTTGTGCTTTCGTTGCCCATGGGGATCCGTCCTCCTGCAGATGCGGAAACTGGCGGAAGCTCAAGTCCCTTATGTGAAAGGGCCTGGCATTTGCATTTGCCCTTTGTGCATCTCCCCAGAAACGCTGCTGTTGTTATTCTGAGACAGGATCTCAACTATTAGTTCAAGCTGGCCTTGAACTCACTGTGTAGCCCAGGCTGGCCTCATACACACAGTGATCCTCCTGCCTCAGCCTCCCGAGTGCCGGGATTACAGGTGTGCATCACACCTTCCTGGCCGTCAGGTGAACTTTTAAAGAAGCCACGACACTGACCTGTTTGGCCTGGCCAGGTTCTCTCTGGCCACTTACTGTGATCCTGGTGTTCAGGGGCGCATTTCCAAGAGCAGCAGCCCCATTCCCACGGCACCCTCCACCTCCCACCTCCCACCCAGTCCTCTGCGATTTCAGCAGGGGCAGGGGCACAGATGGGTGCTAGCAGTGCACTACAACCGGAGTTCCAGGGTCCTGACGGCAGGGGTCCCACGGCTGGCTGCCAGGGGTCGCCGGCTGGTGTGAACCCTGGGCCGCCGTCCCGGAGCACCCAGGCTTCTTGTCAGGTGACTGGCACAGAGCACTTTGTCATGGTAGGACCTGAGCAAATTGAGAGCTGGCTGCCACGGAGGGGTCCCAGGAGGTGACAAACAAGCCCGGGGAGGGGGCTTCGGAAGTTTAGCCCGGGACCGCACCACCTGGCAGCTTTGAGGGCTTAGGAGACTGCAGCGCATCCTGCAGTACTGACTGCGCCCAGCAGGGGCCGCCCGACAGCTGCTCCAGTCCCGAGGCTGCCAGGGTCGCCCCGCTCCTTTAGTGCAAGATTTACCTGACCTCCTCTGGCGTCCTGAGCAAAGGGTTGCAAAGAGGCACCAGCTTTGCCATGCCGGTGGCGCGGCACGGGAGCGGGAGGTGCCGTCTGCCCAGTCCGTCAGTGACCACCCGTAAAGCGCCTCCCTGGGGTGTGCCCAGGCAAGGGGGTGACGTGAGCTAAGAACCCCTGAGTACCTAGGAGGTGCCACGCGGCCGAGGGAGGGGCGCGGCAGGGCACAAGCACCAGCGCCCTGCCACAGCCTGATGGTGCACAAGTTGTTTAACCTCTTTGTGCCTCCGTTTCCCCATCTGGGATATGGAGCTGTTAGAACGAATGGAACCCACCTATGGCTTCAGCACAGGGTTCTCAGGGTAGCACAGGGCTGGAATTAGCAAAGGTGCTGTTTCCTCACACATCGCTAACCCACTCACAAGGGGCCCATTAACAAGAGGGGAACATACGTGCTTACTTCTTTAGTGCAAGATTTACCTGACCTGGGGGCCTTCAGAATGGAGACCCAGGTGGGACAGGGTGGGGCACGCCTGGAATGCCAGTCATCTGGGAGGCTGAGGCAAGATCTCGAGTGGAAGTCTAAGCTCATAGCTTAGTAATGCCTGCTGCAAAATACAAAATGAAAAGGCCTGAGGATATAGCTCAGTGGTAGAGCACTTGCGTTGCATGCTCAAGGGCCGTGGGTTCAAGCCCCAGTGCTTCCACAAAAGAAAAGAAAAAGAAATGAAGACCCAAAGAAGCGAGGAACTTGGTGTTCCTCTGGTGTACTTGGTGGCGTAGGGACACTGTGAGGGGATATGTGTGGTGGAGAGGAGCAGCTGTCCAGGGGATGCGCAGGTGGGAACAAGGTCTGCTCCAGTTGTCCCCTGCCCTCACTTCAGCGGGGAGATGCAGATGAGGGCTGTGTCTGCTTCCTTGGAGAAGGGCGAGGGGGGCTGGGATTGGCCTCCCTGTTTCTGCTGATTTCGCAAATGCCATGCTAAGGCGCTTCCCCCACCTGCCATACTACAGACTGAGCCCAGGGTGTTCACGCAGAGCTATAGCCCCAGCCCTTTTGTAAATTGTGAGTTAGCATCTTGCTAAGACACGAAGTTACCCAGGCTGGGTTTGAGCCTGTGATCCTCCTGCCTCAGCCTCCCGCAGTGCTGGGATTACAGGCGTGCACCACCATGCCCAATCAAGAGGCCATATTTTAAGGCGGCATGCCTAGAACCCTGTCAGCCCGTCACAAAAGTTCACACGTGTGCTGGGGACCTGCCTGACGCCCCTGGATGGTGGCCACAGAGGCTCTGGCTCCTCGCACTGCCCGTCCCCTCTGAGGTCCTGCAGGTGGACAACAGGCCCGCCCCACCCTGCCCCCTGGATTCGGTCAGCCAGTTGGCCACGGCGCACCCAGTAATTTTCCAGATGGGCTGAGGCAAAGCTGTGACCGATTGCCTGCTAAGACGCCTCGCACAGCCCTTACAGAGGCAGCTGATCGGCCAGGTGCCCCTGGCTCCAGCCCTCACGGCTGCTCCCGGCAACCAGGCTTTGGGGCACAGTCCAGAAGGCAGGAGGGGAGCCTCCAGTGCCACCCAGAGACTTTGGGCTGCCCAAGGCCAGAGGGCGCTGGGGGAACCGCCAACCTGGGTCCCTCAGCTGGGCCAGCAGGGCCCCCAGCCCAGGGCTCAGGCTCCTGGGAGCTGTCTGTTCAGGGGCAGAAACGGAGGAGCTAGCAGGGGGCACCTGAGAGGGCTGGTCCAGGGTGCAGCATCGCCTGCCTTCCTCTTGCCCGGAGCAAAGCCAGCACGTTGGGTGGGGAAGGGCCCCCAGAACAGCCCATCCTGGCTTCCTGCTGGAGACAGCAAGGCCCAAGGAAGACAGGGAAACGCGGGGCACAGAACCTGGCTCTCCTGACCCCTCATCCTCTCCCAGCCAGTGGTTCACCGCAGAGCGAGCTTAGAGCAGCCCCCAGTTGTGGCCTTGAGCTGGGGTCTTGGGACCTCAGCCTGGAGGTCGGGGGCCAGGCCACTCACAGCCCCCAGACCAAGCTGGAGCCTTGGCACCCAAGGGGGCTCACAGGACCCCCTTGTTAGGAACACCGCAGTCCCCAGGGCCCGGGCCTCTGGTCTCTCTGCTTTTAACAAGACCCCCAGAGACACACGTGCTCGTTGCCGGTGGGAGGCACCAGGTCAGGGCAAGCCCTTTCCCTCCACAAGCTTCAGTTTCCCTATGGGAAACCCAAGAGCAGAGGATCTCTGGTTTCAAAGGCCTGACCTCCTATGGTGCTTTTTGATGATATGGCTGATGCTAGAAAGTAGCATGGAGCCAGGGATATAGCCCAGCGGCACAGCGCCTGACTGGCAAGCACGAGGTTGTGAGTTTGATTCCTGGTACCCGAAAGAAAGTAGCATGGAGCTATATGCCCAGCACTTTGAGAAAATAAAAAATAAAAAAAACCTTTTGAGACAGCAGCTCACTAAGAAATTACCCAGGCTGGGCTTGAACTTGCAATCCTCCTGCTTCAGCCTCCCAGAGTGCCGAGATTACAGGTATATGCACCACCACACCTGGCTAACTGGAGATGCTTTTTAAAACTCCTAAGGCCCAGGCCCTACTCCAAGCCCAGGGAACCAGACACCCTGGGACAAGGATACTAACTAATCTGTCCTGGGCAGTTATAGCACAAGGCCAGGCTGCGATGGGTCAGAAGTGAGGCAAGACTCCCCGCTGCCCGCCCTGGTCATGTCCATGTCCCGTTTCCTTTTCTCAGGCAGCCAGCTGCGGCAGACCTGCTCCGAGCCAGGAGAAGCCACCAGGAAATTCCCTGGACATTGTAATGTGTGACAGCAGCTTCTAATTAATCATCAACCCTGTGATACGATCTCCACCCATAAAAGAGAGACCCGCTGAGGCTTCGGGGAGCTGAGCCCTGGCCTTCCCCCAGCAGTTCCTGCCAGACGGGGAGCTGTGCCCGAAGACCCCAGGCTGATGGGTGCCCACCTCTGCTCGGAGGCCGGTAAGGAGACTTCCTGTTTCCCGGAGCCGGGCTCTGAAGCCAGGGAGGCAGAGGGGACAGAGCTCGGTCACCATGCGGGACTCGGAAGGTAGCGGGGTGGTGTTGACCTCGCTCAGGAAGGGTTTCCCACGCGGCTCAGCCCCGGGTGAGGTAGTGAGCTTCCTGTCCCTCAGGGGTCCAGCAGAGACGGCCCAGGACTGCTTCGGTGACACAAAGACCACCAACCCATCTCATTCTCAGGTCCTGGCGGGCAGAGAGAAAAGCGGCCAGGCTGGGCAGCAGGGCAGAGTTAGGGGGTCAGGCAGAAAGCAAGGGGTCCCAGCACGGCCAAGTTGGACTGCGGGATCTTGGGCAAGTCCTTCTGTCCCCAGTCTCAGTTTCCTCTTCTGCAGGTTGGGGACAGTGTGACCCAAAGTGTCCCTTAGCAGAGGGCGTTGGGTTGGCAAGAGACCCAGGTCTTTGATGCCCACAGCTTGGGAGCCCCCAGGCAATGCACCAGTGCCCCCAGTGGGCACCTGAGCCTCACACCCCAGCAGGGGCTGTACCCAGGGCCACCCTGCCGTGCCAGCTGCGTTTGGATTACAGGCTGGGCAGTGACAGGGCCATAAAGGCGGCAGCATGAGGGTTGGGGGCACAAGGAGCTGGGCCCCCACTTCTGGCCAGGAGAATATTGGGTCCTGTGCAGCCTCCTCAGCTCTGAGCGCTTCCCAGGGAGGCTGCAAAGTGTTAGAGGGCGCCCAGCCCCAGCGCCTAGGAGTGAGGGAGCCGGGCTGGGCTGTGAGGCCCTCCTGGAGCAGGAGAGGGTGCACCGGGTAGGCAGGTCAAGGGTGGGAGGAGCCGGGCAGAGGTGGGTGCCCACACCCTTGATGGCCCTGTGGCCCAGCTCCAAACTCAGGCAGCAGAGCTGTGTACAAAGCAGGGGAAAGGGCCCCACGGGTGGGTGTGTCCTGCAGGCCCATGCTAGGCTTGCAGGCAGGGGTGGCTGAGCCCCATTCAACCTGGGCCTTGTGCGGTGAACAACCAGTACTGCCACAGGGGACAACGCATGTGCAGAGACCAGGCCCCAAGGAGCCCTTTGTTCCCTGCCTGTGGTGACGCCTTACACGGGCCACACTCGGGCTAAGGGGCTGCCTCAGGTGGGGCTGTAACCCAGGTGTGCAGCTGGGAGGAGTGGGGTCAGGGTGTCCCCTCCACGCCCTTCCTCTAACTAACAGGAGGGCTCTGCAGTCTGTCAGGTTCTGCCCAGGTCAAGGCCAGCTTCTCCTGGGGTCCCAGGGCCTCTTTCCGCCGCCAAGGGACACAAGTACCCACCCAGCCACTCCTGGGAAGCTCGCTCTACCCCAGGCTGCCGGCTGGCTGGTCCCTGGCTGCCCGCCAGGAAACAGACGGAGGTGAATGCCCCCCACCCCGCCCTGCACAGCATGGGTGCCACCCCACTCACTGCCCAGGCAGCGGGGAGGGGCCAGAGCAGCTGCCCAGGCAGGACGCCCCACAGGACTGGACAGGCTCCAGGTTCCTGGCCCTAGAGGGTCAGTTCCGTTTCCCACAGGGGCCCTTGGGGTGGCATCAGGTCAGAAGCATTGCCTCTGGGGACCCCCTTGCTTAGGGGCAGCAGTGAGGAACAGGGCCCGGGCTACATCTATGGGACGGGGGTGACACGGGGCAGGGGGGAGGGGGTGAGTACCCCACAGGGCTCTGCAAAGGCCCCTCCAGAGGTCCCCAGGCACCTGCCCCTTGTGCCCCAGATAAGGGCATTTCCAGGAGCTTACCTGGGGCCCTTGGGGTCAGGGATGGATTCCTTGCCACCTCAAGGGCGTCCTTGCACCCCACGAGGTCCAGCTTCCTCCAGACCACGGGGCTGAGAGAGGGGACAGCTGCCCGGAAGGGGACTTAACTTCCTGCTGCCAAGTGGATGCCTGCGAGAGGTCCCGCGGCTGCAAAGCCCCTCTGGGCCTCGGCTGGGCGGGATCGGGCTCGCAAGGCGCTGACCTCAGACCCTTCTCTGCCCCAGCGCCGCGCTGCCGCCGTGGGAGCTGCTGGGTCCCTTTCTGTCCCAGGACCGGGAGGTCACCCTGGGGGGGCGCGGCCGTCACGAGCGGGAAGTGGGGTCAGAGAGGCAGAGGGGCAAACAGCGCCCACGCAGGACCACCGCGGCCAGGGCAGCCCCGCGCGGGCGCGATAAGCTGCAGGGATGCCCCGCCGCAGCGGCCTTCCCGCACCGCTAGTCTGTCCGTCCCGCGCCGGTTAGACGGCCCGACTGCGCCTTGCTTTTCCACGCGCTCCTAAGGTCGGGGCTGAGGCCTGGGGGGCTCCGTGGGAATCAGAGCCAGGCCAGGGAGGCGGGCCCCCCACCCGCTCCGCACAGGCCTCTGGGGTCTCCGGGGGCAGGGCGAGGCAGTGCCCTTGGCTCAAGGTGGCCCCAGAGGGCGGGGACAGGTGGAAGGGGCCCCGGGGTGGTCAGGGTGGCCCAGGACGCTGGGGCGGGGGTGGGGGGATGCCAGGGCCCCCTAAGGAGCCGGCGGGCCGGGCCGGCTCACACCGACGCGTGCCTCACCCCCACCCTGTCCCGCAGATGCGCAGGTCCGGGGCGAGGCGCTGCGCTTCCACGCGGCGGCC